AAATTGAAAAAGTAAATGAAATCCATGATTCACCATGGTTTTTGTGTTTCATAGCACTCAGGAAGTTCAGAAACACAAGATTTCTGAATTTTCAATGGCAACTTTAATCCCATCCCTTGGCTTTCCTTCTCAGATAGGTATATTATTAGAAAACATGCAAGGGAGAGCTCTATTTTCACAAAAACTTTTAACTGATTTCATTTATTTGAAAAACTCTTAAGTATTTTCCATTTGCTTTATTATTTATTAGCAGGACAATACTGTGGCTTGAACTTAGGGCCTTGGGCTCTCATGTATTTTGCTAGCTCTCAGCTGGTATTGTACCACTTGAGCCAAACTTCCAGTCCAGGTTATTGCTGGTTATTTTAGAGATAGAGTCATGGACTTTTCTGCCCGGTTGGCTTGAAACTGTGTTCCTCTAGGTCTTAGCCTCATCACTAGTTAGTATGACAGGCATGAGCCACCACCACCAGGCTGTAATAACATCTCACAATTTTTTTCTTGTAACCCTCCTTGCTATTGCCACATGCCTATGTTTAGTATAAATTAGTACTGAGAAAGAGTGATTTTTTTCCTACGATATTTTAGATTGCCAATATTCTAAAATTATGAAACTACTCTTCTGAAAACTAAAGAATTCAGATGAAAGCTAAATTTGTACAGACCTATTCTTAAAAGCCTGAGACTGAAAATCTGTGGTTTCTTTTTAGTTAATCATTAAATTACTTTTAAAGCACACACACACACACACACACACACACACACACACATTTCGTTAGCCCAAGGAAACATCATGTCCATATTCCAGTCTTGGTCCTAAGCCTAGTACGGTTTTCTAAAATTGTTAAAGATGTATGCTTTTAAAAGGCATTCATTTTAAGTTTTGACATAAAATGTGACTAATCAAAAGGCACCATTAGGGCAGGGTGCAGAAAGGGAGGGAGAAAGGATGAACAAAGGCAATCAAGCTGTGTATTTCATGTATACATTACATGGAAAATGACCTATATAACTTGTGGGCAGGAATGGGAGGGGAAAACTGAGGGAAAGTAAAGGAAGGGGTAACATTGTCCAAAAAAAGAAATGCTCTCATTACTTGGCTTAAGAAATAGTAGCCCCTCTGGTTAACACCTTAATAATAATAAATTATTAAAATAGAAGTTTTAAAAAGCACAGTTTTCTTTCTTCTATGCAAAAGCATGGATGGCCTGTAATCACTTCATCTGTGTATCCATGTGTGTGGATGGACTTATGGGGAACGAAGATGGAAGGAAAAATAATGAGCTATGAGTCCTTATAGAAGTCTGGAATGAAATACCGGAAAACCAGTCACCTCTGGCTCCAATCCATAACCTCCATAGAATTGGGTGGCTTAGCTCAATACTCTCTGAAGAAATACCTATTTGTGAGATGAAATTGAACTGCACTTACAAATTGGTCTTCGCTGATAAAGAAAATGATTTTTTAGTGGCTTCTTTAAAAGCTCTAAGTGGTTTCCCTAATAGACAACAAATCATAAGACACTGTTATCCAAACAGATGGGCTCCAGAGCCCTGTTGGTGAGATAGAATGTCTAAAAATTGGGTGTTTGCACCAGTCGTGGTGTCTGATCCTATTGATTTTGTTAAAAAGAAAAAGAATAAAAGAAAAAAAAGAAATTAATTGACTAAAAATGATTGATCCTGGAATCTTAAATGGATGACTTCAGTCTCACTTTAGCTGTTATTTCATCATGTCCATTGCAGCATGACTGCTCAGTTCCAAACTGTGCAATCTCGGGCTGGGAAGGTGGCTCAGTGGTAGAGTGCATGCCTAGCAAACTGTGCAATCTCAGTTTTGGGGTACTGCCAAGCCCTATTTATTTCATTTTATTTTCTATTGGTAAACTCACATAGTATGTTGTATGAGGACCTTCCATGTTCTTCAAAAGATGAAAACAAGGAAGAGAAATCATAGGGGAAGGCTGAAAAATCAGAATAAAAATGCAACACCAAATTGACAGGATACTTTTTCCCTGTCTTTGAAGTAGTATTAAAGATCAGCAATTTTGAGTTTGCCTGCCTGGCAGGTTATGTGTTTAAATAACACAGCAGGAAAGAAAAATACACATACTACCTGAGAACATCATGACAAAAGTATTTCAGTGTGTTAGTTACTTTTGTGTCACTGACAAAACACTGACGTAAACAACTTAAGGGAAGAAATGCTTGTCTTGGCTCACAATTTCCCAGGTTTTAAGTACACCAGGGGAACCAGGAGGGGTAGGAATAAAGGGGGTTAGAAAGAGAGAGAGGGGTGGGGCGAATGATTCTATTCTGTCTCCAGCATATACAATGGTGCTGCTCCGAATTCATATTCAGAGGGGTCTTCCCCCTTAGTTAAAGTCTGGAAACACCTTCAGAAATACAGTCAAAGGTGTGTTTTACTAATCAACAAGGCCCTTTTCAATTCCATCAAGTCCACAAAGAAGATGTTCCTTTATTCCTCTATAGAGACACACTATTAAATTTTCTTATTATAGGAGTGACTACAGGCTTTCATATTTTCAAATAGTAAGCATAGGTCTGCGCTAATTTACTGTATTTTGCTTCAATCTCCATTCACTGTGAGGAATAGCTAATCAGGAGTTTTAGATATCATCTAGCTATATTTCTTTATCTATATAGACCAGAAAATATTAATACACTAACTGTTTGGAAGAGGTGTTACTTGTAATTTTTTTTGTCGGTCTTGGAGCTAAACTCTGGGCCTGGACGCTGTCCCTGAGCTCTTCAGCTTGAGGCTAGTAGTAATCTACTGCTTGAGCCACAACACCAATTCGGGCTTTTTCTGCTTATATGGTGCTGAGGAATCAAACCCAGGGCCTCATGCATGCAAAGCAAGCACTCTACCACTGAGCCACCTTCCCAGCCCCATCTTGCAAATTTTAACATGCAAAAATTGAAAAAAAATCACACATCACTATAACTTTCTAAGAATTTTGTAAATTTGAAGCTTTGATTAGTTAGTATTCGTTCAAGCTTTTTCAACTCAGCAAATTTTCTGCTAAAAAAGTATGGAATAGGGGCTGGGAAGGTGGCTCAGTGGTAGAGCGCTTGCCTTGCATGCATGAGGCCCTGGGTTCAATTCTTCAGCATCACATAAGCAAAAAGAAATGAGCCGGAAGTGGTGCTGTGGCTCAAGTGGTAGAGCGCTAGCCTTGAGCTGAAGAGCTGAGGGACAGCGCCCAAGCCCAGAGTTCAGGCCCCATGACAGGACCCCCCCCCCAAAAAAAAAGTATGAAATAAAATGGTATCATCTTTTTTTTTTTTTTATCAGTTGTGGGTCTTGAACTCTGGGCCTGGGAACTGTCCCTAGCTCTTCAGGACAAGGTGAGTGCTCTAACACTTGAGCCACAATGCCAATTCCAGTTTTCTGGTGGTTAATTAGAGATAAGATCACTCAGACTTTCCTGACCAGGCTGGCTTTGAACTATGATCCTCAGATCTCACCTCCAGAGTAGCTAGGATTATAGGCGTGAGCCACCCACACCCAAAGGAATCATCCTTTTAGCTGTAGAAACTCAGTGGAATGAAATAAGATCAACAATGAACCTTATTCTGTTACTTTACAGGTTTTAATCACATTATCTCATTCATTATCACTAGACTGTAGCTTCCTGTGGCTGGAATGAAGCATTCGTTTAACTTATTTACTATTATATCTCCAACATCTTGTGTAGGGGCTGGCACAAAATAAGTGCTCAACAAATGTTGGGTGAATTTTGAACCAGCTGGTAATGTAGGTAGAGCAAATATTATCTGTTTTCCCACTTTACAAGTAAAGCAACATTGCAGAAAAGTTTAGTGACTTGTTCAAAGTCATATGGCCAGTTAGTAGTAATACCAGGCTTATAATCTACTTCTTCAGACTTCAAAACCTGATTTTTTTTCTCTAGATTCTTAGATTATAGGGTCCAAATTGGTAAGCCCTATAAACTCCCTGGGCTTGAGTTCCCTTATCTACACAATAGAGAACCTATTACTGTATTATTCCATGGCTCAGAAGTCTCACTCTAGGCTAATACTATGAGCATAATTAAAATATCATTTACAATGTTATTTGGCTTCTGAGAAGCTTACATTCACCAAAGTGGTATTAATGGTGGATTTAAGAGAACCTAGGGCTTCAGATGATCCAGAGGAAAGAAGCCCAGGGTTACAGTCACATATCCATATTCTAATAGTGGAAGACATTTTCAGACTAGAATCTTCCTTTAGGATGTTGGGGAATGGGACTGAAGTTAGTTTAAGTTTTAACATGTAACTACTCTTGAAGTTTTCAGGTGATAATGTCTGCACCTAAATACTTCACTTATCCAGTTCACCCATCCCCTCTGGTCCTCTTCCCCACTGACATACTCCATGCCAATTTCAACCTCAGAGTAGGAAGTTAAACTTTTATATTGAAGCCATTTTAGACAGACTCCTTTGCATAGGCCATCAACAATTTCAGAAATTAATTTCCAATTTGCATTTCATATTTATCAAAAGAACTGTTACACTCATCACATTAAAAGCTCTTTTTTTTAGCAGCTTTGTAAATATTTATTTGCTAGTTGGAGTCTTTTTTTAAGGAATTGATTCATTCTGACACCCTAGGTTGTTTTCTAGCAAGCTCAAATACAATCTGAAGGCCCTGTGTAAATTACTACCTCTAATTTCCTACAGCAAGTTACTTGTTTCAAATGTACATAAATGGAAGATGTCAAGAACATTTAGTCTGTTGTACCTGCCATGGTTAGTTACCTTCTCCCACCACAGTGCACACGGTAAAATCTGATTACAGAAGGACTGAGAAATGAAAGCTCACCTGGAATTACCGACAGTTTTCTCATGTAAGAGGTGATCGTGACACTATAGTCTGCAGAACAAGGTTCTTGAGGGCTTACACTCTTCTGCAGAAAGTAAATTTATTTATCATCATGCTTCCTAAATCAGAAACAAATCATTACCACTTACCGAAAATTTCGAACCATGAAATGGTGACCATGTCTAGGAGCTGCATTGTTCAACAGGATCCTCAAATTAGACAGCATCTTTTTTTTTTCTTGCTAGTGAAAAGGATGAGTCTTTTGTTCTTGAAAACTCCACCGCAAATCAGCCAGTGAGGCTGCTTAAAAGCTAAGAATGCTTTTGATTACAGAGAAGGAGCAAAGGTCTTATCATCTTTCAACTACCTTATCAGGCTGACCTGATTAGAGATTTAGCAGGGCCGGGCACTGGGGCTTTTGAACTTTAAGTCTAACTCCACAGTTGTGGGTTTTTTTGGTGTTTGTTGTTGTTTTCTTTTTTGCATCTAGCCTCCTCATTTTTCATAATGTATTTGTGCTGTCACATGCTTGTATAAAATCAGTTGACAAGTTCCCATTGAGCATATAATGTATGCAAGGCACTGCAGTGCTGACTGCTGTGAAAGTACATAGAAATAACTCATTCAGAAAATGTGACTTGGCAGTGCAAAACCCCAGATGTAGATGTGACAGCCCTGAGTATTCCCACTGATTGCACTTCCCTACCTCTCATTTCCAGCTTTTTCACAAAAGCAAATACACAGAGGTTGGTCTGGGAGCTATTTTTTTTTTGGTGACATGAAGCTAGAGAGTGGTAGAAGAATTTTCTTTGGGGGGGGTCCACTCGTGGGGCCTGAACTCTGGGCCTGGGCGCTGTCCCTCAGCTCTTCAGCTCAACACTAGTGCTCTACCACTTGAGCCACAGCGCCACTTCTGGCTTTTTGCTTATGTGGTGCTGAGGAATCGAACCCAGGGCCTCAGGCATGCAAGGCAAGTGCTCTACCACTGAGCCACCTTCCCAGCCCCTGGTAGAAGAATTAAAAAAAAAAGAGCTCAGTCCAAGGACTCTCCTTGTGCCTTGCACATAGTAAGCTTCACCAAGTTAAATTTGCCTACTGATTCTAGCAGGAGCTCATCATTGGTAGCAAGATATGGAAGGGATGCTCTATGCTCCTTCCCAGCAGCCTCTCCAGAACATGGAGGGGCCATCTGCTGCTTCACATTCATTCCCTTGTCCACAGCTATAAATTGGATGTTTTCAAAGTCTATTTTGTGTCTGGCACTGAGCTAGACTGGAATTTCAGAGAAGGAAATGATCTCATCTTTGCTGGGCCTACATTTCAATAAGAAAGATAAAATCTGTAAATAAATGTCCATAAAACAAGCCTATAAGAGAGGTCTCGGTAAAGCTGTTCTGCATCATTGAGAAATCAGGAAGGGTGGGAGACTGGGAGGGTTGGAGGAGGGTGATAGGGAGGAGGAGGAAGAAAAGAGGAAGGAGCTGCCTCTTCTGGTAGACTCATATGACTTAGCAAACTCAGGAAAGCATTTGCTAGATTTTAGAATGTAAACATATGTTACTTAGAAAACACCTATGAGCTGAGCTGGGTTCTGGGTGGCTCATGCCCATAATCCTAGCTATTTGAAAGCCTGAGATGGAGACCAACTTGGGAAGAAAATTTCACCAGACCTCCTTTTCAACCAACAGCTGGATGCAACTGTGCCCATTATCTCAAGCTATGTATGTGAAAGGCTGAGATCTAAAGGATCACAATTCCAAGCCAGACTGAGCAGAAAAGTCCTCCAGACTCCATCTCTGCAGAGGGAAGCTAGATGTAGTCATCTCAGCAAAGACAGGAAGCCTAAAGCAGGAAAGCACGACCCTGTTTTAAAAATAACCATAAAAGAAAAAACAGAGCTAGAGCTGGGAATGTGGCTCAGTGGTAGAGTGCTTGCCTAGCATGCATGAAGCCCTAGGTTCTATTCCTCAGCACCACATAAACAGAAAAATCCAGACGTGGCACTGTGGCTCAAGAGGTAGAGTGCTAGAAGAGTGCAAAAGAAGCTCAGGGACAGTGCCCAGGCCCTGAGTTCAAGCCCCAGTACTGAAAAAAGAAAAAGGAACAGGCTAGATGCAGATCTCCATGATATAGTGCCAGCCTTGCAAGCATGAGGACCTGAGTTCAAAATCATTTCAGAAATAGAGATGGTTTTGATATCATAATTAATATTAGCTGGGAGATCGATCACTGTTCCCTTCTGTTTATGGAGAATAAAGTGGGATATAGGGAGGGGAAGACTGAAGCTTCCAAACTTCTGCCAAATCTCTGATCTAGAAAGAATATTCCAAGCAGTAGCATCTGTCTGTGAAAGCACAGAGAAGGTAGTGTGAATAAGCCAAGTACATGGTTGCTTTGTAGGAAAAGACAGTAAAGCATCTTTGAGGAATCTAAACTGGGCCAGTTGTTTTGACAACAACATTTCTCTGAAGGTCAAGGAAGAAAAAGGAATGTAAGGAATTTGAGGGAGAAAAGGGCTAGCCCAAGTTAAGTAGAGCTCCTATCTTTATCCCTTTACCTTCAGTAAATTGTGAACAAACAACTCTTAAGAAAAATGCCTGGGGGGCTGGGAAGGTGGCTCAGTGGTAGAGCGCTTGTCTTGCATGCCTGAGGCCCTGGGTTCGATTCCTCAGCACCACATAAGCAAAAAAAAAGCTGGAAGTAGCGCTGTGGCTCAAGAGGTAGAGCGCTAGCCTTGAGCTGAAGAGCTGAGGGACAGCGCCCAGGCCCAGAGTTCAGGCCCCACGACCGGACCCCAAAAAAAAGAAAACAGAAAAATGCTTGGGGGGCTTGGAAGGTGGCTAAGTGGTAGAGTGCTTGCTTAGCATGTCCAAGCCATGGGTTAGATTCCTCCATACCACATAATCAGAAAAGGCCAGAAGTGGCACTGTGTTCAAGCCCCTGGAAGAGGAGCTGTGGCTCAAAGAGGTAGAGCTTTGAGCAAAAGAGCTCAGGTACAGCACCTAGGCCCGTGACCAACAAAAAGAGAGAGAGAAGCGAGCACTGGTGGCTTACACCTGTAATCCTAGCTATGCAGAAGGTTGAGATCCGAGGATCACAGTTCAAAGCCAGTCCAGGAAGGAAAGTCTAAGAGACACTTATCTCCAATAAACCACCAGAAAAACAGAAGTGGTGTTGTGGCTCAAGTGGTAGCACGCTAGCCTTGAACTGAATTGCTGAGGGACAGCACCCAGACCCAGAGTTCAAGCCCCATGACTGACCAAAAAAGAGAGAAAGGAAGGAACGAAGGAAGGAGGGAAGATTCCTGGAGAGAATTCAAGAACTGTACTTTCATGCCAGAGAACATGGGCAGCACTTCTGAGATGTCAAAGCAACTCATAGATTCTAATTCTCTAGGATCTCAAAGCTGGAGGTGACTAAGACAAACTGAAGCCACCCATAAAGATTGAAAAGGAGAAGTGACACCATAAGTGCGTTGATAGGAAAAGCAATTTCACTGAATCTCATGACAGAATTTCTTCATGGACTTGAGAAGGACATCATAGCCAGCCAGCTCGCTTCTGCAGATTGAGTTTATTCGGCTGGTGGAGTCTGTTTACTTATTGGCTTTGGGGTAATCCATCTTCAGATTTTTTTTTTATTCTTTTTGGCGGTCATGGGGCCTGAACTCTGGGCCTAGTTGCTGTCCCTCAGCTCTTCAGCTCAAGGCTAGTGCTCTACCACTTGAGCCACAGTGCCACTTGCGGCTTTTTCCGCTTATGCGGTGCTGAGGAATCAAACTTAGGGCCTCATGCATGCAAGGCAAGCACTCTACCGCTGAGCCACCTTTCCAGCCCAATCTTCAGAATTTTTTTTTTTTGGTCGGCCGTGGGGCTTGAACTCTGGGCCTGGGTGCTGTCCCTCAGCTCTTCAGCTCAAGGAGAGCGCTCTACCACTTGAGCTATAGCGCCACTTCCAGTTTTCTGGTGGTTTATTGGAGATAGGAGTCTCACTGTCTCTCCTGCCCGGGCTGGCTTTGAACTGCGATCCTCAGATCTCAGCTTCCTGAGTAGCTAGGATTACAGGCGTGAGCCACCGGCGCCCGGCAATCTTCAGAATTTTTAAGCACTCATGTTGACCACCCTTCCCTCCCCACCTCCCTGTGGTTTCTCTAAGTTAGCTTCAACTGCTGTGTTTGGCTCCCTAATAGTTTCTAGTGTTCACCCAATCTTCTATTCATTTATTTTTCTCTGTCACCAAAAACAGTTGTAGGAAGGGGGTGGAGGGAGGGAAAGAGAGAGGAGAGGGAAGAATGAGTGTCTTCTCATGTGGATTTTATTGTTTGAAATTGAAGTGAAGAAACTGAGTCACAGCCATCCTGGAGCCTGGCCAGGTGCTAGGGGAAGTTGGTTTCACAGATAACCCTGAAGTCTAACCAAGAGATGAGGGATGTCCACCCAGCTCCAAGGCCTAGAGGTGAGACAAGCAATCCTATGAACTGCAGAGGTCTAGTTCAAAGGGTAGAGCCAGGAAGGCCCATCTTTGGAGAAAATGTAGATACATCTTTACACTGATACATCATGTTGTTTAGCCCCAGGGGAGCTGTGCTCCTGGAGCCCTGTTTCTGTACAATACTTAGCTGAGGCTTGGTCTCCACCCAACATGTAACCTTTGTCTTTAAAAGCTTGGTGCAAGGGGCTGGGAAGGTGGCTCCAGAGTGCATGAGGCTCTGGGTTCAATTCCTCAGCACCACATAAGCAGAAAAAGCCAGAAGTGGCGCTGTGGCTCAAGTGGTAGAGCGCTAGCCTTGAGCTGATGAGCTGAGGGACAGCACCCAGGCCCAGAGATCAGGCACCATGACTGTAAAAAAAAAAAAAAAGCCTTATCTGCAGCTGGAAATGTAGCTTAGTGGTAGAGTGCTTGCCTAGCATGCATGAAGTCCTGGGTTTGATTCCTTAGTACCATATCAGCAGAAAATGCCAGAAGTGGTGCTGTTGCTCAAAGTGGTAGAGTGCTAGCCATGAGCAAAAGAAGCTCAGGTACAGTGTCCAGGCCCCGAGTTCAAGCCTCTTGACTGGCTTTATCTGGGAACTAGAAACCAACTAAAAAATAAACAAGGGGCACTCAGCTGTACTCCCATTATCTATAGTGCTCTGGGCCATTACCTCAGGCAGTCACCTTATAATCACCTTGGGCTCCTAGAAAGTCCTGATTAACCAATAATCATCTTTTTTTTTTTTTGGTCAG